TAAATAAACATTTTTTATTTTTTTTTTATTTTATAAATCAATGAGGACCAAATGGGAGACCAGTGATCAGATGAATATTACAGACTCAAGAGTAGCCTTCTCTTCTTGTATATAAATGAAAAAATAAATTCGTTTGTTTAATTCTAATGCTTGTAGGCGAGAACAGTTGTGAACGCCAGCTAGCGCACAAGTACATGAGCGCCCAAAATACTTTTACACAAAAGACATGTACAGACAGGCGTGTGGCTTCTGACTTCTTTTTTATTGATTAATATTAAATATTAGGCGCTTACCTATAATAGTTATCATTTTATGCAAGTATAACTATCACATAATAAATATAAAAGGAGTTTATCAAAAAACTGACAGAAGTGTTGTGTTTTGTGCGTTGTATCGTGTTTGTGGGCATTCGGGTGTGTTGTGTTTACGCTGGCGGGCGGCGACCTTACCAACTCCGGATTATGTCTATTACATCACTAAACTTCATTTAATAACTATATGCCTGTTAAATAGAAGATTTTAATTGTTAATAGCATTATATTGTCGTTTTAATATGGAACACGTACACATATGCGAAACGTCTAAAGCTGGTGTCCGAAGTGGTAAAAATATTAGTGTGCGATGTTGTCAATGTACGGAGTGTCTTGTATCCGAGTCCATAGGAATTACCGTTTGTCCTGGCGCCATCTATGTTTTGACAGCAGTACTACTAATGTTCCCACGTTATGTGTGATCGCTATACGGGTGTTACGGTCAGTTGCTCTTCTATATATGTTTATGGACAACGTAGGTGATTTGAGGCAATTTGCGGCCAGAATGAAATAGTATCCACGCGGTGAGTGATGGAGGAGGATATATACTGCTGTGTACTCGACCAGCGGGTGAGAGGTAAGTTATATCGAACAATTATGGGGAATAGATGGGTTATTTTAAGCGTAGAATGTCAGGTAACCGGTAACTACACAGATGGGGTAGTGTTTTTTTAAGTCTTTATTTACTAAAGTGGAATATTACATTATGCCTTTAGCTGAAAAAGTCTGCTGGTGGGGGAAGTAGACGGGTTTTATGAAAGTATTTTACCTAAATATTTCTATTTGGTTAACTAGTTCAGCCGTTACCAGGGAGGGTGTTCCTTTAATCTAATCTAAAAAATCTAGCCGGACAAAGTGATTAAATAAATTGAATAGAACGAAGTGGTTTGCCAGGGTGCTTAACATTTAGTTTAGTTCACTTACTATGCAGCCCATGCTTAAAGAATGCAAGTTTATCATATTGAATTTACCGTAGTTTTACTGCATTTAATATACCGTTTTTACACTAATTATGTCGGGTAAAGGCCGGTCGTGGAAAGTTCCTAATATAGCAAGTTTTAAAGGAAAAGTTAACTTTAACGCTTAAGTTAGTGACCAATTAGCTTAGTCTATTGTGAGGAAAGTTACTAGAATCTAACATTGCAAGTGCCATTTCTCTACTCTTTTTGAGAAACATGACTAGATACATGAATCGCATAGTTTTATTACTAAATGTTCATGGATTAGTTTGCATAGTTGAGGAAATAGTGATAAGGTTTGTGATTTTGTGTACCTTGACTTCAGCAGAGATTTTGATAGTGGCGCAAAATTGATAGGGGCTCGGATCATTGGGAATGCTGACTGAAGTTGATTAGGTCATGGCTATACCAAAGGAAATTAGTATAAATGGGGTTAAGTTGGGAGAAGTGTTGTAAGTAGTGCCTAAAAGCTCTCCTTGGACCTCGGTTATTCGCAAGATTATGGTTTAGACTGCAATAGTTGCAGAATTGGCAAATAAAAAATACCGATGCCCTATATAGTTTTGAAATGGTTAAGACTACCAGATGCAGTTTAATGCTGACAAATGTAAGGTTTGGGGGCTAGGTAAAGATGAGATAGATGGTGTAGATTGTCAAGAGTATTAAATTTTTTGCAGGTGGTAAATTCTCCCAGAGCTGGCACTGCTCTCCAGCCTGGGATGTTGATTGGTTAGTCTTCAACTGCCTCTCAACATGGTAGTGAGGTCCTGAGCTGACCTGCAGTGAGGAACGTGGAAAGCTTCCTGAATTGGCACATGGTATGCCTCCCTTTCAAACCAGCAGCTGGCACAAATGTTCCAGCTAACATCAGAATAGTGGATGAAGCCCACACTAAAATGTAAGTGGTACATTAAATGGACACCCCCCCCCCCCTCCCTTTTGACACTGAACAGTTGGGTTGAACAGTTGAATTTTCAGACTAAAAAGCTTGGTACATAATTCAACAGAATAAATTTGTCCCCATAGTAGTAAGCAGTGGTTGCAAAAGAATAAGAATTTGTATATATAAATTTTGTATTGCTTTTATTCAAATGTTATACATGGTTAAATTAAAGTTTTTGCAATGTTCCAGAAAAATGTTCATGACTAAAGTTGTTGGAAAATAAAATTTGTATAGGATGTTGACTTGAAATGACTATAGCTTTGTTTGTAATAAAGGTGGGACAAAGATAGTTAGTGTGCCATTTAAAACGGCAACTGTTAAACTGGTGGTACAGGTATGAACAAAATAACATAGCTATGCAAATAACTTTTTAGTAATATTTACTGTTCACATGACAGGTTGTGGAAGGTCCTGGCAACAAAGAGCTGCAGGAAAATACTTGCAGATCTACAGTAAGTAGTGTTGTGTACATTGGAATTAGAGGGTAGAAGTTAATTGCTAAAAACCTATTAAATATTAGGGTATGGAAATTGAATGGGTATGGAAGTCTAGGCTTAGGCTAGTGGGTACCATATCTGCAAGTTTAGTCCTTTCAGGAATGTATTGAATAGAATGGTATGTTGAAATTGTGAAAATTGTAATGTGGGGCATTAGATCTTAAACGGCATAGTTGAGGGTGTTTTATTAATAAAATTTTAATGAAATATAAATCTTGTTAACTAAACATTAAATGTTTGTTAAATAAGCTTTAATCTATAAATGTATAACACTTAAGGGTAATCATGAGTCAAATAAAGTTAATGGCAGGAAAAGTTTTGTTCTAAGTGATGGTATTTTTCCCTTGAAAGTAAAAAAAATATTCAATGTTTACTTTAGCTTGGTTTTAAATTTATATAGTTTTCCAGAATGTGGTTTGGAAAGTCCAGAAGTCCCTCTGTCAGTTGCTTAAACAGAATCAGGTGATTTGTAGTAAAGGTTAATCTGAATAGATTTGCATAAAAGTAAAAAAATAGTAATAACTTATCTTTAGCCAATGCTATATTATTTAAATGTAAATTGCCATTGAAGTGCAGTTGTGGATAGTTTCTCAAATGACATTTACTGAAACTTGGCAAATTGATGCCATATATATTTATACTGTATTGCTAAATTAGATCTTTACTACTGCTACTAGAATATGTAGGAAAGGTAAATTCCTTAAAGAAATTTTTTCCATCTGAATTTGTAAAGTACTGAATGCTAATTTGAAAAGTAAAGCAAGATTGGCTTTAAATCTGAAATTAATTTGTTGAAATATTTTTCAGGTGAAAGTGATTATGATGCATGGACTGGCTTGGAGTGAGGCTCCTTTAATCTGCAAAAGTGGGTGAGTTTGAATTTGATGTTTTAGCTATATCAATGACCTAATCTTAATTCTCTTATCTAGTCCATTTATAGGTGTGTAACCATGTCCTACTGTTACAACCCACAGGGGATGATGCAGTTTGTACTGATCCTACCCCATTTCATAAAAGGGGACCAGGCAGTCCTGCAGATTTCCCTGGCTTGGCTTTTTCAGAGCTTTGCTCTACTACCCATCTAATAGATGGACTAGATTTGCATAGGTTTAGGGACCCTTAACAATGGTTACATTGTTAATTCTCACAGGGCTTGTTTGCATCTAAAACTTTAGTGTCTGGCATGCATTGTACAGTGCTTTCAGTAAAGCATATGTACAATGTGTTTGGCACTAAAGTGGTGGATGTAATGCACCCATTCCGGGAACAAGCTCTGCACTAAAATCAGAGGAAGGGATAGGCCTTGTTGAGCCTGTTAAAAGATAGGCTGTTAGGATTTTTTGGCCTTATTATTAGGCATTGGTGATAATAAAATTAGTGTCCCTGTTTAATGTTTATTTTTCTTTTACAGGTGATTGTCTCTGGAGTTGTCTTGGCCTTTTGGATCTTCTGTTCATCTAGGAGCATCTGTCCCACAACCTGAAACAGTTCATATAAATGTTTGTAACAGAATTTCATAATTGAAAGTAAAAAAAGTTACAACACAAATAACTGGTAACTGTACTTCATCTAATTGTAATATATAATTGAAGTTTAAATATGCTTTTTCTTTCAGACTATAGATTAGGAAGTCCAGAACAACATCCTAGAGTTTGAAGGTGGTGTTTGCTCGACATTCAGAATCGGGTGAGTGTGGTAGTAATGATAAATTAAAGATTTGCATTATATATTAAATAGTAAAGTTAAACAATGTAGCATTATGTCTGAAGTATCTTTCTCCACTTAAATGTACTAAACTTAACTTGAATAGCCATATCTACCTTTTTAATTGCTTGATTAGCATTAATAAAATTTAAAATTTTAGCCAATTTTAAAGGAACACTACCATTGTGAATTTGCAAAGAAACTAGAGTAAAAAGCTGTATTTATAAGCTAATTTAGTTAAATGTTTCAGGTACTTTGCTAGATTACAATGGTATCAAAGCAGCAAGTGGCTGTTCTACTCTGCACATCTATGAAGCTGGTATGTTGAATTACATGTTTTAGCTATATAAATTATTACCAATATGGGGATGCAGGGGCGGGGGAATACCAACTTTAAATTATAATTGAAAATAAGATTTCAGTATGCTACTTTTTAAATTGTTACCAAATTGTTACTAAAAGGGCTTTTTTCTAGAATCAATAAATGAAAGATGGGGTGGGGGAAGTAGGTAAATAGTGTATTTTGAAAAAGGCAAATATTTAAGTTTAAACATTGCTGTGGGGAAAAATTTTATTAACCATATTAAATGTTTCATTGACAGGTTGTGGAGGGTGCTTCCAACATAACTTCAGGAACAGTGTACAGAACAATTGGTGGAACTTGTATGCTACAGAAAGTAGCACAGGGGCTGGCCAGCTGAGCAGACAGCACACTGGAGATGTGATCCTGTGGTCCCAGGTTGAATCCTGGCAAGAAATGGTGGGCTGAGTTTTTCACCCTATGCCCCTGTGAGTTAGTCAGCTGTAATGGGCTGCTTTGTGGGGGGACTAAAGGCCTGAAATTGCCAAGATACTTTTGCCCTCTATCATTCTGACAGTTAAGAGTACTGCTATAATTAGTTTAATAAGTAGTATTTAAATAGTGAAGGGGCCTGGAAATGGGGGATAAAAACTGTAGTTCTAGGCCTTGATAAGTGGGTACAATAAAAGTTTAGTCCTTGCAGGAATTGTTTTGAATAGCAAAGAAAATTTAAAATGGTAATGTTACACTTTATTCAATTTAAGAATTGAGGGTATTTAGAATGTTTATTTAAATGGTAATTGGTTTGCTTAACTTTGTTCAGTTACTTGGTTCTAAAATAATTGGCTAAAAGTTTTTCCATCTATAAATTGCACACAATAGTGTGATGCATCAAATGACCAAATCCACAAGGGCTGTGATGAGGGTTCAAATGTCCCATGACATTTAAAAAAAATTGCAACAGGGAGGTAAATTGACCTCATGGATTTGTTCATAATTAAAAGTTAAAAAAAAAAATAATGGTACAAGAGACAAATTAAATATTGACTAGTAACTGTACTTCATATTTTTTTAATGTAACTAGTTTAAATAGGCTTTTTCTTTCAGAATAAGAATTGGGAAGTCCAGCTGTTCATCCTAGAGTTTGAAGGTGTTGATTGCTTGACATTCAGAATGGGGTTAGTGTTGGTGAATATTTTAAATAGAAAAATAAGTAAGGCATCAGTGGTTGCATGTAGATAATGTAAAGTAAAAATTCTTTCTGTACTTTAAAGTACTTGTTAAACTTAAATAGTTTGAGTAGCCATATCTAAGTCTTGTGCTTGATTAGCATTAGTGAGAATAAAATGTTAAGGCACATTAGCCATTTGAGTTTGCAAAGCAACTTTTAATACAAAATTTATAAGCTAATTTGGTTAAATGTTTCAGGTGGTAATGGAGATTATGATATCAAGGAATTGACTGGCTTAAGAAGTGTAGCTGTTCTACTCTGCACATCCAATAAACTGGTATGTTGAATTAAATGTTTTAGCTATATCAAATAATTAACTTGCTTTCTTTTTTTATCTAGTCCATTTATAGATGTGTACCAAAGTCCTACTGTTACCACCTGCAGGGATTGATGCAGTTTGTACTGATCCTACCCCATTTCATAGAAGGGGACCAGGCAGTCCTGCAGATTTCCCTGGCTTGGCTTTTTCAGAGCCCTGCTCTACTACCCATCCAATAGATGGACTAGAATTGCATAGGTGTAGGGACCCTTAACAATGTGCAAACATTGTTAATAACTACAGGGCTTGTTCACTGAAAGAGTGGATACATCCAGAGGTTTAGTGCCTGGAACATGATGTACATAGGCTTTACAAGAAGCCTATGTACATCATGTTGAGGGCACTAAACCAAAAGATGTGTTCCACTCTTTCAGCCAACAAGTCCTGCCTCAAAATGCAAATAAGGGGTAGGCCTTGCTGAGCCAATCTTAAAAGATTGGGACTTAGGGGTTTTGGTAGTAATTTGTATGTGTTAGTGTTAATAAAATGAGTGTCCCTGTTTGATATACTTTATTTTTCTTTTACAGGTGGTTGTTGTCCTTGGTACTCTGGATGTTTTCCTGGCCTTTGAAGTTGTTTGGAGTCTTCAGTTGAAACCTCAACCTGAAACAAAATTGTCAACATTAGTTATATTGTATACTATTTAATAAATCTTTTAATGAAAATACTTTATATACTTTATCCTGAAAGTAGCTATAATTTAATCATGCTGGAAATTAATATTACAAACAATATCTAAAAAAAACTTGCTATAAAAGTTTATATAAAACTATAATAAACAAATAAAGGTATAATACAAAATATATAAAGCTAATATAAACTTAAGTTTGTTAATTATATAAAGCTATAATATAAGTATATATAACAGTTATATAAACTAAATATTATAACTTAGTTATATAACTTATAGCTTTATATAATTAAACTTAAGTTTTTATTAGCTTTATATATTTTACCTTTAACATAAGTTATATATAAAAAGGTAATATTATAAGTGAAAACTAATTTTGACAACTTAAAAGCTTTGCATACCAAACTACTCATTTTTATAGTTATCAGGTTAAACTGCAAAAGATAAATTTTAGCCATTATTTTAATAGTTAATTTAATCTAACAAATTTCACTTTTAAAACAAATGTATAGACTAAAGTTAAAGCTATGGAACATATTGATTAGTGGAAATGATGTAAAAATTTACATCAATGATAAGATTAAACTAAATTAGCTAAAATTTTTTTCCCACAAGTGTCACAACTTGATAGGAAACATGAAAGTGTTTCCTAACAATATTGTCTAATGGTACCAAACCCTTCAATTTTCTACGAGTCTAAGAAGAAAAGAAACAAAACCATTAGACATGTCCAATCTGTTAATATAATGATGCACTGAAGTGTCCTACCAAATATTAGTAATGAACACTAAATTATTCACACCAGACATCCCATTACTATAAATGTTTCAAACTGCTGAAGATAACTATTTCAAGATAGTGTATATATAAACTATCTGCCTATAACAAGCACCATAAATGGGAAGAGCCTTACAAACTAACATTCAAAAAAACTTCAAATACCTGGAATTCAATCCAAGCTATTAAATGAATTGACAGTCAAACTTACTGCCACTTAAACTCGCTAGATAGATTTCAAATGTTACTCAAATTTTTGAAACTGCCAAGCAGAAAACTTTCAAATTACTTTGACCTCACATCTGCAAGGTCCTGAAGGGAAGAAACATTAATATTCTTGTAAAATCAACAAAACATTGGTTTGTTAAAAACAAACCTGTTCACAATTTTTTTCTGATAACCAGCTATTCAAACACACACACACTGTGTTTGATAAAGCACCATATCAAAGGCTAGGAGTGAAATAAGAAGCACATGGAATAAAGGATAAAAAGATTGCTTAATTAAAACAAATAAATTAAAGCTTCCTCTGAAACAGATTTGACTGGAAAATACGGCATGAAGCGTACCACAAGGGTCTAAACCTTATATACCTCAATGACAAATCAAATTATTACAAACCACATCAATTTTGCAGATGACACCAAGATTTATGGTATAGGGAACATGAAAAAATGATATCGAGCCCTTACAAAGATCTACGGGAACTCTAAAAATGGTTACAAGACTGGCAAATTCTTATTATTATATACAGTATTTAACATTGCAAAACCTTACAGGTGAGCCAGAACAATCCATATCACAACTACCACATTAAAATGAAGAAGAACAATGAAATAAAGGACCTTTGAGCTAGATTCCGTCATTAACCAAAAGTTGCTCCAGTAAAAAACAAAAAACCCTAGAATTAATCAAGCTACCTTTTGACTTTAACGAAAAGAAGGTAATTATTCTAATGTCCAAACATTTATACACAACATATCTATAATCACTTAGATAATTGAAGCCAAGCATGGAGACCCCCCACCTTCTTTACAAAAACACATCTACTTTCAAACAACTTCAACACTGGCCAACAAAATATTTCTAAAACTAAGTCAACTAATAACAGGAACAACCGAGAGCCACGACAAACACTCCAACTCTCTCCTACACCAAACTCTTATGCTATTAATGATCCAAATTATTTTGATATACTTCCTACAGACGAGTCCAGAGATAGGACGATCTGGCGAGTAAACTGAAGCACGATACAGGTGTCAACGGACATCAGTCAGCCCACTTGTCACCACAGGGGATAAACTAATAACATTATAACCTGCAATTTTGTATGACTCCTTGTGGCCATTTAAATCAATAAAACCCAGGGTTGTGGCAATGTTTTAGCATAAGGTAAGGCATACAGGAATGCCTGGTAATGTCTAGTCCTTGTATGTGCTTTAGGCAACCAAACTGAATAACAACATTGCTCGTGTTAGACTATTTTATCCGAGTTTCTTATTCGGTACAACCTTTTAAACCCAAATAGGAATGCGCTTTAAAGATCCATTTATTTGGAGATTCTACTTACCACAATCTAAATTACCGGTCTCTGAAAGTACTATGAGATAAGTTTAACTAGATGAGTGTTTGCCTATCCGCACCCACATGAGGAATGTGACAACACTGAATAAAGAAAGGGGCTTTGAGCATTCAGCATGCAACAATTTGACATGACATAACCAATATAGCCAGGTCATACCTACCCCTCCTACCTACCCCTCCTACATACCCCCTAACTCCTTCCCCCAATCCCATCACTCCTGCCCTCCCTTCTACGCCCCTCACTCCTACCCTCCCTCCTGCCCCCTCAATCCTCCCTCCTACCCCCTCAATATGCCCCTCCTACCCCCATCACTTTTGCCCTTTCTCCTACCCCCTCACTCCTCCCCCCTACCCCCTACCTCTCTCCTACCACCTCCCTCCTCACTCCTCACCTCCTGCCCCCCTCACTCTTACCCCATCAATCCAGCCCTCCCTTCTACCCCCTCACTCCAGCCCTCCCTCCAATCCCTTCACTCCTGCCCTTGCTCCTCCCCCTTCCTCCTACCCCCTCACTTCCTCCTGCCCCCTCCCTCCTACCCTCTCATTCCTCCCTCCTACCCCCTCCCTCCTTTCCCCTCCATCCTGCCCCTCCCTCCTACTCCCTCACTCTTCAATACCCCCTCATTCCTCCTCCCATTCACTCGTACCCCCCCTCACTACTACCCCCTTACTATTCCTCCCCCCTAACTCCTCCTCCCCTTTCACTATTCCTCCCTACCCTCACTCCTCTTCACCCTCATTCCCCCTTCCCTCCTCACTCCCCCTTCCCTCCTCACTCTTCCTTCCCTCCTCACTCTTCCTTCCCTCCTCACTCTTCATTCGCCCCTCACTCTTCATTCGCCCCTCACTCCTCCTTTCCCCTTCACTCCTCCCCCCCTCATCACTCCTCCTTCACCACCTCATTCCTCCTTCCCCCCTCACTCCTCCCCCCCCCCCGTCACTCCTCCTTCCCCCCTCACTCCTCCTTTTACTCCATCCCCGCTCATTCCTTCCCTTCCCTTCCCCCTCCCTCTTACCCCTCACTCTTGCCCATCCTTCTTCCCTCCCTCCTACCGTTCTTCCTGCCTCTTCACTTCTCCCTCCTACCCCCTTCACTCCTCCCCCTCACTACTCTTCCCCATCAATCCTCCCCCTCATACCTCCCCCTCACTAATCCTTCTCCTCACTCTTCCTTCCCACCTCACTCCTCTACCCCTTCTCTCCTCTACCCCTTCTCTCCTCTACCCTCCTCACTCCTCTACCCTCCTCACTCCTCTACCCTCCTCACTCCTCTACCCTCCTCACTCCTCTACCCTCCTCACTCCTCTACCCTCCTCACTCCTCTACCCTCCTCACTCCTCTACCCTCCTCACTCCTCTACCCTCCTCACTCCTCTACCCTTCTCACTCCTCTACCCTCCTCACTCCTCTACCCTCTTCACTCCTCTACCCTCTTCACTCCTCTACCCTCCTCACTCCTCTACCCCTTCACTCCTCTACCCCTTCACTCCTCTACCCTCCTCACTCCTCTACCCCTTCACTCCTCTACCCCCTTCACTCCTCTACCCCTTCACTCCTCTACCCCTTCACTCCTCTACCCTCCTCACTCCTCTACCCTCCTCATTCCTCTACCCTTCTCACTCCTCTACCCTCCTCACTCCTCTACCCCTTCACTCCTCTACCCCTTCACTCCTCTACCCCTTCACTCTACCCTCCTCACTCCTCTACCCCTTCACTCCTCTACCCTCCTCACTCCTCTACCCTCCTCACTCCTCTACCCCTTCACTCCTCTACCCCTTCACTCCTCTACCCTCCTCACTCCTCTACCCCTTCACTCCTCTACCCTCCTCACTCCTCTACCCTCCTCACTCCTCTACCCTCCTCACTCCTCTACCCTCCTCACTCCTCTACCCTCCTCACTCCTCTACCCTCCTCACTCCTCTACCCCTTCACTCCTCTACCCTCCTCACTCCTCTACCCCTTCACTCCTCTACCCCTTCACTCCTCTACCCTCCTCTACCCTCCTCCTCCTCTACCCTCTTCACTCCTCTACCCTCCTCACTCCTCTACCCCTTCACTCCTCTACCCCTTCACTCCTCTACCCTCCTCACTCCTCTACCCCTTCACTCCTCTACCCCTTCACTCCTCTACCCCTTCACTCCTCTACCCTCCTCACTCCTCTACCCTCCTCATTCCTCTACCCTTCTCACTCCTCTACCCTTCTCACTCCTCTACCCTCCTCACTCCTCAACCCCTTCACTCCTCTACCCCCTTCACTCCTCTACCCCTTCACTCCTCTACCCCTTCACTCCTCTACCCCTTCACTCCTCTACCCTCCTCACTCCTCTACCCTCACCCCTCACTCCTCTACCCTCCTCACTCCTCTACCCTCCTCACTCCTCTACCCCTTCACTCCTCTACCCCTTCACTACCCTCTCACCCTCCTCACTCCTCTACCCCTCCTCACTCCTCACCCTCCTCACTCCTCTACCCTCCTCACTCCTCTACCCTCCTCACTCCTCTACCCTCTCACTCCTCTACCCTCCTCACTCCTCTACCCTCCTCACTCCTCTACCCTCCTCACTCCTCTACCCTTACCCTCCTCACTCCTCTACCCTCCTCACTCCTCTACCCTCCTCACTCCTCTACCCCCTCACTCCTCTACCCCTTCACTCCTCACCCCTCCTCACTCCTC